CGACTAATTTTGAAGTGAAATTGCATCAACTAACGCGAATCATTTCCATGCGACAGCGAGATCTGCAGTCAAATTCGCCATCTTCTCCTTCTTCCACATCTCGACAAGCTTTTCCTGGCTCATCGTTTTCTAGCATTTGATATAGTGCCCGCACTTCTACTGTGACCTCATGACGCTGCCCAGGGCAAAGCTGAAGAAAGAGTCTGAAGTACGTGAAGCAACGTCGCAAAATATTTTGTTCTATACATAGCGATTGTGAAACTACGTACGAATTTGCGTTCTTCTGCAAATTTGGAGCTGTGCATGTACGTTGATACTCTGATTAAAAAGTACTGACCTCGAATGTGAATCCATCTCTCGCCCTTCCTTTACCCTCCATAAATCGATTAAGCGATGAAGGACGTCCATGGAAATCAACGCTCATACATTCTACGTGTTCTCCTTCGAGGTTCTCGGCATTGTGAGATAAGAGCATCGTGAAGAAGTTTCCCTTAAGCGAGAAAAGATTATTGTATACTTTCAGTAAGCTGAGGTAAATAAAGTTGTTAGAAAGGCTACAGTTAATATTCTGTCGTCATGAACACTAGCTCATCGTTCTTGCTTCGTGAAGCATTGAGGTCGTTTGCCCATGCAGATTTGCACGCGGAGTTTTTATGTTCTATAGTAATCTGACCATTGATGTTAAGTACGGTTCATGGGAAGCGGTAATCCACAGGTTTTTGATTTTTCACTTCATATTTTGAAATAAAAATATTCGTGGTTTGAAAAATACTTCTACAAATTAAACTTTTGAGTAAGCGTTTCTTATGTTCTCGAAAATTCCACTCGGCACTTTCTCCTTGAATCATTTTGACTATCTTGTATTTGGTCTAATCTTCTGTCAGAAGTGAGTTTTTAGGACAAAACGTGATATGAATTGAAGCGTTATCAACTTCTAACAATTTGTTCCTTTTGTTTCTTAAAGAAACCTCTAATTGACTGACCTGATCTTCGATATCGTAAAAATTATCTGTATCGAACAGCGGTTGGAAGCAAAGCTGCATTTGTGATATCCAAGAAGTTCGAAGCTTCGTTTTAATCACTAAGTCCTCATTCAGGGTAGTCCTTTGAAATCGCTGCATAGATCGCCGCAGCACTTCAGTCCCAGTTTTCTGGGTGAATTCTTCAAATGTGACGTTTCGAGTTTCTAATACATCCATCCATTTCTGCAAATATTGCGGTACTGTCACATTACGGCATCAGTCAAGTGTTTTCAAGTTGGAATAGTTATTTGTTACGCGAGGGTGAGTATCTGTGATGAATAACAATCAGATTTACGTGCGCTACCGAAAGAAACTCGTTTCTCTGTCAGAATTCGAAGGTGCTCTCCATCACTCTCACAGCGCTACTCCGTTGTGTTCCAAAAAAGAAACACTAGTGTTTTATTAATTAAACAAACTCTTTGATATGTAGAATCAAATGTAGACTTTAAAATGAAGAGATGTGTCACTTTGGAGAGGAAAAAAAA